TTCAAAAGAAATTTACTATGCAAAGAAAAACTTCAATTTTATTAACTTGTAATTTATACAAAACAATGTTAACTATTACAAAGACATTACAAATTATAAAAGTATTCAATATCTTTATTTATATTTAAATTTATTTATTCATTAATGAAGAATATAAGATGTTAAAAGATAAGTTTTTAAAATATTAATACTAATTAGACAACTAATATTAGTTTAGAATACATGAGAATATAATTTACACATACATTATGAGTTTCTAATTTAAAATTTTACATATATTACTTCAATTTTCTATCACTAACATAATTAAATGAAATTATATTTAAAATTAGCACATTAATTAAGTAATAAAATAATATATTTTTAATTTTAATAATTAACTTTTTTACCTATGCATCAAGCGGGATCATATTTAATTTTTAAGTATAAAATTATCTTAAATACTTAGATAGAGAAATTTGTTGTTTATATTAATAGAATTGTGTTTGTTAAAAAATACATCCGGTCTATAGTTTATACTAATAGATCTTATAATTTAAAGGTTTTTATTTATTTATTTATTTAAAGGGAATTACTATATTTAAAGTTTGGTAAAAAACTATTAAACTACAACAACATAATTCTGCCTGTTTTGGATGATGATGATAAGGAAAAATAAAATAAAAACTTTCATTCTCGAAAAAGAAAACAAGAATGTCGCGAGAGCTTGTGATTTTTTTAGTTGAAAGTATATCAAATTCATGTATGTAATTTAATCTATCAGTAGCAGGTAGTTCAATGCTGCTCCCCTGAAATTAATCTACCATATATAGCTTGCTATATATAAAGTTAAAGTATAACCTGTTCTCTTCAAGCGACCATCATCATCGAAGCACTTGGAATAGTTAGACTGAATATTCATCGCTTCGGTCTCGGTTTGGATATTGGGTCGCACTTCTACTTGTAAGTAGTGCCTGACATCATGTCTCTCTTCTACCTGTTGTAAACAATTGAACATCAATCAACGTGAATAATAATAATAATAAATAATAAAAAGAAGCAGAAAATTAGAAGTGTATGATACTGAAATACAGGTTAATTTGCTCTTACAATTCCTTGGTGGATTCTGCTAGGAAGGGTTCTACTTCTTGGCAACATGGCTGAGAAATGTAGCTAGCTGAATACTGAGAGTACGAGGGAGGGAAAAAGAACAACTAAGAAGATTGATGAACGAGAGGGATGCTTCTAAAAGAAGAAAATGAATGGGATTTTATAGGAGAAGACTGCACGTATGTCACGTTCTCCATTGATAGTTAGAACTGTATAACATTTTCAAAGGATAATAATTTCAGCTATAGCAATCAATGCCATTTGGACCTTAATTGAGAACGTGTTGGCTATGAGATAGCAAACTGCCACTTAACCAAGCAAGTGCATGGATCATGGATGGATGGTCGAATAGAAACGAATTAATATATATCTCTTGAAGATATGAAGAGAAAAAAGTGCTGATACCTTTTTCATCGGTATCCAGCATTATATTGAATTTTTAATCACA